ATGTTCTGATTAGCTGCTTTCTTCAGTTTGCACATGTTAAGGCTGCACAGACCTGAAGCACCCTACAAGGAAACAAGATAATAACAGAAGAAGCTCAATTTCCACCCTTTGCCATCAGCCTCATGGCTAGTAAGACGTTGGAGGGATGCAGCTTAAACCCCCCAGCACCAAGCATCACAGCTCCTTGGGAACGTTGTTGCTTCACCAGTGCTGGTGAAGAGGTGTTGCATCCACCAAAAACCTCTTCCCCAATAAAACAGATGACCCAAGCTTGTGCTGCTGACACTGGATGGAGCAGTAAGCCTATTTACCTAGATTCAGTCAGTCTGACATGATTCACAGCTAGCTGTGGCTGTGATTAACCTAGACAGATCCCAGCATGATGCGATCATGACTTAAGGAGCTCAAGCTTCCCATGACGACCAAACCCCAGCCGATGGCATGAGGCAAGCTCAGCCTCCACAGGCCAATATCCTAAAAGGGAGTCTAAGGTCCCCACAGGACCATTTAACCAGCCAGCCCACAGCAAAGTAGAACGCTCAACTCGGGACACAGCATTTGCTCAGAACAAACACTTCAGGCATCAAAGTGTTTTCAGTTGTGCTCAGACCCTGCTCAAGTTCCCAGAAGCAAGGCAGGATTCCGGTCAAGGTACTGACAACAGCTCCACAAAATGATTAATTCAGCCTCAGTTTCAGCAGTGTCAGTTGTGCTGCTGCGAGGTGGCATCAGAGGACAAGCTGGCAGAGTGCTGATGAGGCTTTTCAGAGAACAGGTATATCTGAAGGGCTGGGAAATAGCAAACGGTCCAGTGACTGCGACTGGCTGTGAAAAAGGCCCTGCTTGCCAGAGACTGCCAGGCAGGAAGCACACTGAAGCCCTCCATAGGCACATCTGTTTGCAGCAGGGGCATCTTGAGCCATCAGCTGCATTTCAATGAGTTTTTTGTTTAGTAAGTCCCATGGGAATTATGGGATGTCTATTAAAGATCCAGAAATAGCTCTTCACTGCAGGCACAAGACCCAGCATGACATCATCTCTTCAGCTGCGTCTTCTGTTTTGTCTATGCCCACCCTGCTCCGAGACTCATGCCCAAATTTCACCATTCGCTTCTGCTCAGGCCCTTTAAATGTGTTGGCTGAACCGTGTTCAGGGGGCTCAGAAAGCAGCTTCATGTTGCAAGTACAGTAAAAAAGGCTGCTTCACAGAGAAAGGTTTTGGAAATTAGCACATCTTGCATACTCACTGGAAAAAGGCATTTCTATGCTGAGAAATGCACATTTTGCAAGTGAAACTCCACAAATTACTAAACCTACACAGGCAACTCAGTTATCACTGATACAAATTCTGCAGTCTGAGTTTTCATATCATTGCTTAAAGAGCAGCGGTATCCAGCCCACCAAAGGCCAGGAAGCTTCACCAGGAAGGTGCACAACTTCAGCTGATGTCTAGACAGGCAGATGCTCCAGAACATGAGCAGAGGCAAGGGTGTGGAGGAGGCAGAAGGAAAAGGTCAGTAAGCCAAGTTTCCTCCACAACCAGCGAGACAGACAGGAGCCTTGAAGTTCAGTGAACTCCACAGGACAGAGGAATTAGATTACTGAAGTTTATACTCAGGGCATGAGTTTATTTGCTTCCTCAGTTTACTTCCAAGTAAAGGCAAAAGTAGTTTGAAACAGCAAGTAGTTTGTTGGTAGGCCAAGTTTATCTGCAGCAGACACTGATGTGCTTTATGGTTCCAGCAAAGCTGCTTTCCACCATCTCCTCTGGTCCAGACAATTTCATGTCTGCATAAGGTGGCAGCAGCAGCCCCCAGGCTCACAGCTAGCATCATATGGACCAACTCTCATGCAGTTCCAGCTCTACACAGCCTGAAGAGGGACATTTTGAACCTCAGCTTGAGGTAATCTCTGCAGTAAAATAAATTCAAGTTCTACTACTAGAACAAGAGAAACTTTTGCAACTAAAAGCTTGCCCCTCCCAACTGTGGCTTCACTTTTTTTTCCTGCTTCTCATGGCCAGCCAAGGGCTAGTACATACACTCACACCATGAGTGCCTGGCTCTGCAGATGCACAGAGGAAGATGTTGCAGCTTAGAACAAGCAAGCCTCAGTGTAGGAGCAGTCACGCTCCATTAGCCCCGTCTCGTTTTAAGTTATTGCACTACAGCCCTCAGACTAGCACAGGATTTTCCACATACCAAACTGTTCATCAGCAAGATGAAGCTACAAGTGCCAAAGTCTGAGGCAGAACAAAGAGTTCATGGTGTGATTTGCATCACATTTGTGCTTGCTGTTCCAACTTAAGTTTTCAAGCCTTTAAGGATGCTTTCAACTTACCCTGACTTACACTGTGACACTCTCAGCCTAGCAGCCAAAGGAGGAAGACTGGAGCCTGCTCCCCAACCCTCTTGACAATAAAACAAGTTTAGAGGCAGGCCTCATACATAGCCCACACACTGCTAATGCCCCATCAGGACCTTCCATTTCAACAGCTCAACCCTCCCTGCCACCAGTTTGACTTTCATCAAGGTGAAATATCAGCAGGCAGTTCACAGCTCTTGCAGGTATTTAAGAAAAGTCATCTATGACTAGATCACTCCAGAGAAGAGATCCAGGATACAAAAGCCCTGCATAGATATGAGTAGTCAGCACTGATGACTCGTACACCTTCAGGTTAGGATGATCCACTCAAAACTGAATAGCCCTGTTCCTTAGTTAGCCCAAGCAGACTTATCAAGGTCATTAGCACTTGGGGAAAAGCCTTGCTGAAGCAATCCTTAGAACAAACAGGGCACCTAGATTCTGCCTCTCTGCTGGAAAATCTGGATAGACAAATAGAGGCATTTGACCTGACTGGGTTAAGCCTCTTCACGTGGTGACCCAAAAAGACAAGTGAACATCCCATGCAGGCTAGTTTGATTGCTTCAGGTTTAACCACCACTCATTGCTGTACACTCCCTCTACAGGTGAGGAAAGAGAGGCCACATGTTTTCCACTAACTCAAGCACAGCTATTTTCACACAGTGGCAATAAAACAACTTCCACTACCCAGATCCAGAATTCTGACAAAAAAAAAAAAGCAATGCATCGCCCTATCCTCTCCATGGCTTTGGCTTCTGCTGAAGACCTCGGCTGTGGCCCAAAGTTCAGTCGACTTCATGCTTCAATGCACTGTTGCTGCCTCATAGCTCATTTTTCAGACTTAAATAAACAAGCATACAACATCACACCTCATCTGAATGCACACTTTGGAACAACTGCCTCTATGCAGGTTGTGTAACATCTGCAAAGGAAGAGCCCTGCAACAGGACCTGCTGGTAAGAGCAACCCAATGCACAGACCAGATGCAAGTCATCTGCATGCACTCAGTGCCTGTGTTAATTCTCATCAACAAGTCTCTTGGAAGAGCAAGAAAACATGGATCTAGTAGGCTACAATTCACAGCTCGCCCTTTGACTGACTATAAGCTAGGAAATGAAAGGGATATTGAGACTGAAGGATTAAGGCTCAAGCTAGTTTCTAAGACCACTTCTTCTTCCAGTCATTGATCAAGAGGTTAACAGCTAATTACATTGCTCAGAGCTTTCAGAATGAATGAAGCTTGTGCCTTCAGGTATAATATCTCCAGTGACATTTCAAGGCTTGTTTAGGCTGCCTCTAGCCTCGCTATCTTTTAGAAGACTGTTAATCCTTTTAAACGGGCCCATAAGTCAGGAAAACCAAGAAATAGATAAAAAATGTAAGCACCATACAAACAACTCCCTCCTGCTCTAGGCAGATCATTTGTATGCTGTGTTACAAAGAGATCTCAACTGTCCTCTCAGCCCAGTGTGTGGTGTGAACCCTTCTTTCACTGATATCCCCATCTCCCACTGAACCCTCAGGAGTGCCAAATTAGTTGGGACTCAATCACTTCACAACCAACCAAGTCCTTTGTCAATCCGGTCTGATACCAAGGGATATTTTAGACAACTGGCTCCTGCCAAGCAAGCATTCCAACCTGTTGACTAGTTCTCACTACAGCAAGACCTGCTATTAGACAGGAGATGGAAAGGTGCATTAGACCGAGTTTGCAGTCCAGCCCAGGCAATTCCGTAGGGGATTACTGCCTGAGCAGCCAAAGCACTTACCTGATAAGACAAGCCGTCCTTGCGGGGGCTTAGCCCAATCTCATCCATAGCTGGAGTGTTCATCATCACTTCAGTCATTTCAGCTGATCTCAGATAATCAGAGCTAGAAACAAAAGACAGCATTCAAATGATCCGAGGGGCTCCAGGAGAGCTGAGCAAGATCAACGTAGCATCGGGAAAGAAAAGCAAGCAGAAGAGGCTGTCCGCAGTCTATTTCTGTTCCCTTCCTTCCTCCCTGCCCGCCCCCTCCACGGGGAGGGGTGGAAAAAGCTCAGTGCCTCGTAAACTGGCGCTCCCCCCAGCCCCCGGGAGCAGCGCCCCGACTTTGTGCCCAGGAGCGCAGCCGGTTACAGCTCGGGAGGCTCCGCAGCAGCTCCTGCCAGCTCTGCCCCCTAAGGGGCAAAGCACAAACGCGCAGCACAAAGAAGTGCAAGCGCTGGCGGGTTGTCGCCTTTTCTCTTCGCTTTTATTCTTTTAAGCTGGCGTGCTTTAGCTCCCGATGACTTATTTTACAACCTCTGGGACTTCCACGCCAGCGGAGCCCAGGGCGCCAATTCCAGCTCCGCTTTTCCAGCCTTAATGCCATTTCCCGCTCGAGAAAGTGAATTCCCACACTTCGGAGTTCCTCTGTTGCGGCTCATCCCGCTATCGCTCGGCTCGCACCGCAGCTTCC